ATAGGTCCAGAGAGGGGACAGCACTTCCCTCAAGTCACACAGTGAAGCTGGAACCTGGGTCTCCTGGCCTCTCTCCCAGTCCTGGGTTCTCCCTCTATCCCGTGCTGCCAGCTGCCACCTCATAGCTTTCTTCGCCCAAGTTTCCATTGACACAGGAAGCTGCCATTCCTCTTCCAGAGCTCAGACCGGATGCCCCTCCCAGTATGAGGCCTGCCTCACTCTGCTTTTGGAAGGGAAAATTTTTGTGGCCCCCTCCCAGCTCCTGTCCTCTCCCACTGCAGGGTGAACTCTGCTGCATGACCTCTGAGGAGGAAGTAGCCAAGGCCCCACCGTGGGAATTTTCCATGCAGTAGTTGCTTATCGATTCCCGCTCAGCTCTGGGCTGTGTGTCCTCAGGCTTTGGCGAGCCTCAAAATCACCTGGATGGGTTGGTAGATCAGAGCTTCCCAGCACACACACACCACCCTCGGATGCTGTAGGTCTAGAACTGGGCCTGGGAGCTGTGTTAAGCAAGGACTTCAGGTGGTTCTAATACAGGAGACCCTCTATTAGGCCTGGAAATTCCTGGGCATCATAACAGATACTGGGGCAAATCCAAAGTCGATTTCAAAAATGGTCCCTGTCCTCAGGGAGCCCCTTGGACTAGCAGAAGTACAGGTAACTGGGTAGCTACTCACATAGGTGTCTGAACAGGCCCTGGAGCGTAGCGCTGACAGGAGCTAACTCAGCCCTGGGGAGAGACCAGGTAGAAATAATAGATGAGCGGGGCCTGGAGGCCTGAGAAATTATTGACCATGTGTCATGCTGGGATGGTCTTGAACACACGGTTGTGCATCTTGTGGCCAGGAGCACAGTAGGTTGTTTTGGTTTGGTTTTGGCCTAGCAAATTGGTCAACATGAAAAAAAAATTTTTTAATTAAAGAAAAAAAAAGACACTAGTCCATGTAGACAAGGTTGCAGTGAAACTGGCCTTCTGTGTGTTATTAGTGGGTGAGTTAATTGATAGAACTTTCTGGAGAGTAGAGCCAGTAATTTTATTTTATTATTATTATTTTTTAATCTTATATTTCTTTTTTTTTTAAATTTTATTTATTTTTGGCTGCATTGGGTCTTCATTGCTGCACGCGGGCTTTCTCTAGTTGAGGCAAGTGGGGGCTACTCTTCATTGCGGTGCCCGGGCTTCTCATTATGGTGACTTCTCTTGTTGCAGAGCACAGGCGGAGCCAGTAATTTTAGATGTGTGAAAAATTTTATAAATCAGTATGTTCTCTAAAGCATGATTTGGAAATTAAAAAATGGAAATAATGTATATATTCAACAGTGGATTTTTTTTTTTTTGGCTGTGCCATGTGGCATGTGGGATCTTAGTTCCCCAACCAGGGATCGAACCTGTGCTCCCTGCATTGGGAGCGCGGAGTCTTAACCACTGGACCACCAGGGAAGTCCCTCAACTTTTTTTCCCTCAATGTGAAAAAAAAAAGATGTGGATTTTTTTTTCACATCTGGATTTATGTTTATTCACATGTGGGAGGGAATAACATTTTACAGTTAGATCACAAATATCAGAAAGCTACTCAAAGTGGGAGCTTCATAGAAATGTTAGAGAGTGGAAGGAGATACATGAAGGCATTATTTTTTTTAAAAAGCAAATTCTTTGCGGTCAACATATTCTTGCAAACTATTTTGAAAATGAAACACTCAATTAGATATTGAGTAATAATTAATGATTTAAAACCAGTGGAGGTTGTATGGATTAAAAAACCATTCAACTGTGGTTTATTGATTAAATGATTAAATTCACCTGTAAGGATGTCATACTCAAGTCATTAAAATTAATATATTTACAGAATATTTAATGCCATGTAGTAAATGCTCATATTTGAAAAAGTAAGATGTAAGAAAGTATAATATTCCAATAATGAATAAATATGTATTATTTATTACCACTATAATTGGAAGAAGATGTTTACCAATATTTAAATATCAAGAAAATGGAGAGGAGAACAGTAGAGTGTGGACAGATTATGAGTGTTGAATGTCATTCTGAAGGAGTTATCCTGGGGGCAGGGGTACCATCAGGATCTGGAGACTCAAGCACAAGGCCATGTCCTGCCTAAGGTCTGGAAGCTGTTAGTGGAGAAGAGTTTTCCACCTTCTGTGGTGGTTATTTGGGAGAAGACAGTTTCTCATGAGCTTTATGAACTTTTTTCAGGCAACCTGAGGCCAGTGGCAGCCCAGAAGATCTAGGAAAGCGCTGTGCGTCTTTGCTCTTGCCGTGCTTTTCAAACATAACGTGATAACTGTCATAATGCCATGTTTGAGATCTTAGAATATGCCAGACGTTATAGGTGCCTTATCTCATCTAATCCTTAAAATAACCTCCTGAGGAAACCAAGGCTTGGAGAGGCCATGTAGTCACACAGTGTTGGATTTAGTATTTGAATCCAGATCTGGGTGATTTTAGACTCCCACAGTTCTTAACCATACTGTTCTGAGACCTTGTTCTTATGCTGATTTTGACATCGAGGTCCCGTTAGACGGTGTCTTACCTCCCCAGCTCCAGTTTCCTCCCTTGTAATAACCCTTGCCTCTCAGTGCGGTTGAGAGGATCTGAAATCAGACACTCAGCGTTTGAACGCCATGGGCGTCGTTGGGTGAAACTAAGACCTCCTCACCTCCACTTCACAAAGGAGGAAGTGGGAGCCCGGAGGAGGAAGGAGACTTGTCCAAATTTGTGGAAAAGCCAAGACTGGAATTCTGGAAATCTCACTCTCATAAAAACGTTGACCAGATTAGCGTAACGAGTGGTGGCAACAGGGACAAGACAACCGTTGGTGTTTATCTCCCTCCTTCCTCCAGCCCAGGGTGGAGAGGCTGCCTCCTGTCATTTCCCCAGAATCCTGTGTTGACAGCTTGTGCCTGGGCCAGGCGTCCCCTCTCCCATGGGCAGGAGGGCGGAGACTTCACAGGGTGGGTGGAGGGAGGGTGACAGGCGTGCCAGCCACTGAGCAGATGTGGGGACCAGGGCCTGGGGGAAGCACTGTGCCTTGCTCAGTTTGCCGGGATTTCACACAGCACCAGGCCCTGTGCCAGGCACTGTGGGGCAGGAGCAGAATGTTCTAGAAGCCTTCCCTTCTCTTCCTTCCTCAACCGGAAGTATGCTTTCTAGCAGCATTTCATTCATTCTCAAGTTCAGGAAATTGTTAATAATTTTTATTTTAGCAATCTATTATTACAGAAAAAAGTAAAGCTTTTCCTTCACAATGATAATTCACAATTGAATGCTTTCATAGCCTTTTCACAGGCTGACTTATTGAAGTGATTTTGAAAATGGGGCCTAGGGACTTACCTGGTGGCACAGTGGTTAAGAATCCGCCTGCCAATGCAGGGGTCACGGGTTTGAGCCCCGGTCTGGGAAAATCCCACATGCTGTGGAGCAACTAAGCCTATGCACCACAACTACTAAAGCCCACGCACCTAGAGCCCGTGCTCTGCAACAAGAGAAGCCACTGCAATGAGAAGCCCGCACACTGCAACAAAGAGTAGCCCCCGCTCACCACAACCAGAGAAAGCCCGCATGCAGCAACGAAGACCCAACGCAGCCAAAAATAAATAAATTTTAATTAATAAAAATTAAATGGGGCCTAGAATATCTTTTTTTTTTAATCAGAACACTTTTTCAAGGTATAGTTGAGAAGTAACATATTAATTTCAGGTGTACAGCCTAAGGATTCAATATTTATATACATTGTGAAATGATCACAATAAGTCTAGCTAACATCCTAGAGCATTTTGAAAAGTATACAAAATAGCTTAAATTTTTTTTCTACCCCAGATCCTGGTCCAGTGGCCAGTGCCAGACTTTGACCAACTTTTCACCTCTCTGGGGTGAAATGAGAAAATGAAAGGTGTGAATGTGTGTGTAACGTTGAGTAAGATGTTACTTCACCTTTCCTGGAAGAACTATCTTGAGCTTTCCTTAATATACTTTGGAAGGTTAAAATGTCTTCTGTTTTATGAAATGATAGTGATAGTCTGCAAATAATTTTTGTCAGCAGCCTTTCTTGTCAACCCATATCAATTCTCCTATTTCAAAATATTATTTATGAAAACTGAAATCTGGGAGCCACTGACACTGCCTTGTGGTACAGAAGGCCCTTTTGCCTCAGTTCTCTCCTATGATCAGATTCAACCCACACTGGCCAAGGTTGGTTACAGTGCCCACTAGGTATGGCTCAAATCCTTGACTCTGCTAGTTGTCCCCTGCTTTACCTTGATGGGCTCCTCACCTGCCTCAGCCTTGTCATCTTTAAATTGGGGGGCATTCGTATTTCCCAGGGTCCTTCTAAAGATTACCTGAGATAGTATAGATAAGACAGCATAGTGCCTGGTACATCCTGGCTGCAGTATCTCACCCCCATCTGTCACGTTAAGTACTGCTGTCTCCTTATAGTTGGGGAAACAGCCCTTCTAGCAGAGAAGAAGCATAGTAAAACATGGCACGAACTTTGATGCTCTGCTTTCAATACAGGGAAGTTGGCTGGAAGTTGTGGTAGCCACAAGCCCCGAGAGGGAAGGGGAATTGTCTCTGAACTGGGGGTTAGGAAGTTTTAAGACACCTAAAGGCCATAACTGGGGTGAGGGTAATAGCAGAAGGTCTGGCCAAGTCCCTAGAGAAGGAAGATAAGGGCAGAGAGGGGCCCATGGTTGGTGGCCAAGCCAAATCACAAGAATCTAAGGAGAGACCAACCAGCATCAAACTCCCCGCGGAGGGTTTCCCTGGCCAAGATGAGAAATTCTGCTCTGAGAACCCTTTCCTCACAAAGGGAGTGCTGCCTCGGCATGGTGAGGAAGGAAGCCTAAGTGAACTGGGCCTAGAGCCGGGTTTGGCACGACTGGAATTCCTGTCTTGCCTTTAGAAGAATCTTACCATAGCATCCATCCTCACACTGACCTCCTACCTTCTTCCTTCATCCTCATTGTTGTCTCATCTCTTCCAGAGGTGCCAAGGACCAGATCAGCCTCCCAAACCAGAGCTGCAGGAACTGGGTCCCCTCAATGGTGACACAGGTGAGTAGGCAGCCCTGTAAATGCCCTCCCTGACATCTATGAGATTTCCTACTTTATAATCAGCAGACATGATATGGCTATTTAATTATCTCACAAGATTTTACTTAGGTTACATTAATAGGAGTATCATGTCTAAAATCAGGGAGGTGATAGTTCTTCCCTGTTCCTGACTATTCATACCACACCTGGAGTGCTGAGTTTATTTCTGGAAAATACATCTTCAGAGGAATCCAGAACAATTGGAGAGAGTACAATGGAGAAAGATGAGGCTGGTGAGGAATCTGGAAACCATGTCTTGAAGGAACAGTTAAAGAAACAGAGGATGTTGCAATAAAACACAACAGTTCTCTCCAAGAGACTGAAGTGTCCTCATGGAGAAGAAAGATGAGGCTTGTTCAGTGACCCAGAGATCAGTACTAGGGCCTCAATGTAGCAGAAACAGGCTGGCAGAATTCAGTTTAATCTCAAAGGATTTTTCATGTGGTTGTTGGTTTAACATCATCAGAGGTACTTCATAATAGGATGAGCTCTCCATCTCTGAAAGTGTTTCATGAACACCTGGAGGCTGTCAGGGATATTGTAGATGAAGTTCAAGTACCAGATAAGCAACTGGGTCAGAATTCAGAGGTTCTCCAATCTGAATGTACATAAGAATTACCTGGGGTGGGTGATTTTCAAAAGTACAGATTCTGGGGCCTTACCACAGACCAACTAAATAAGGATCTCTGGGAGCGGGGCTGAAGACTCTGCATTGTTAGGGATGATAAATCTTTTTAATAAGCTTCTCCCCAGTTGGGGCCAGTCTGGTACTGCTGACCAACGTTTGGGACCCCGAGCCAGATGATTTATGAGAGCTGATCATGACCACCGCCTCCGCCCAGGACCCAGGGCTCAGACTTCCTATCTGATGGACTGACCACAGCCTCTTTCCTCACATTTCTCGTCATATCTTGTACCCAACCTGGCCTATGAAGTTCTGTAGTAATATTACTACTACATTTCCTTTTATTTATTTATTTATTTATGGCTGTGTTGGGTCTTCATTGCTGCTCACAGGCTTTCTCTAGTTGCAGTGAGCAGGGGCTACTCTTCGTCGCAGTGAGCTGGATTCTCATTGCAATGGCCTCTCTTGTTTCAGAGCACGGGCTCTAGGTGCGCAGGCTTCAGTAGTTGTAGCACGTGGGCTCAGTAGTTGTGGCTCACAGGCTCTAGAGCACACAGGCTCAGTAGTTGTGGCGCACACGGACTTTGTTGCTCCGTGGCATGTGGGATCTTCCCGGACCAGGGATCGTACCCGTGTCCCCTGCATTGGCAGGAGGATTCTTAACCACTGTGCCACGAGGGAAGTCCCTATTACTACTACATTTATAATAATGCTAACAATGCTAGTATTAGCCTCCAGTGCTTGTCATGAACACTGAGGAATATTTAGAGAACATTTAGTGAACAATGAAGAGTACTTATTGATCACCTCCAAATGCCTGGCACTACACTTAGTGCTTTTTAAAATTCATTCATTTGTTGTATTTTTTAGATTCTACATATAAGCGGTAACATACAGTATTGGTCTTTCTCTGACTTAGTGCACTAAGCATAATACCCTCTAGGTCCATCCATGTTGTTGCAAATGGCAGAATTTCATCCTTTGTCATGGCTGAGTAATACTCCTTTACACGTATATACTGCATCTACTTTATCCATCCATGTGTTGATGGACACTTAGGTTGCTTCCACGTGTTGGCTATTGTACAATTACTGCTTTTTATGCATAAGCTGGTAGAACAAGGTGGTAGTTCAGAATGTCTGCTGTGGAATCACATCGTGTAGGTTCACAGTCCTTTATCCCGATTGTGAACTGGGTAATCTTGCGCAGGTTGCATGATTTCTTTGTCCCTCAGTTCCCTCATCCGTGACATGGGGATAATCACAGTGCCCACCACTCTGGGTGGTTGTGAGGATTCAGTGAGTAATACCTGTGAGATACTTGGAACAGAGCTGGGTGTGTTTCTGAGCATGGTAAGCGCTCTTTATTGTTTACCTGCTGTTGTTATTTTTATCGCCATTGTTTTCTGACTTAACTATCTCAATAGCCCCATGAGGTAGGTATTATCATTATCCTGATTTAATTGAAGCCCCGAGAGGGTGGGTCCCTGCCTTAGGTGAGACCCAGAGCCTGTTGGACTCAGAGTGGCATCACCAGGCCTGTTTGGGGGTTTCCTGTTTGCGTCTCCTCACTGTTCACAGCAGCCTCTCTGCCCCCCGCTTCGGGGGATGCTGAAGGTGAGGGGTCACACACTCAGACACAGGGTCCAGCAAGTAACGTGTGTGACCAAGTGGCCCCTTACACGCGTCCTCTGTGAGCAAAGGGCAGAGCCACATCCTGGACGGAGGGGAAGGCAGCTGCCCCTCAGCCCAGCTCCTGCTTTGACACTAAGGCACACACCGCCACTTCTTTGGCTTCTTCAAGATAAGTTGGAAATCTGTCGTATTAAGTAAAATCTGCCCAGTTATTAAGCGTCAGCCACTATTTGTTTTTAATTTAGATATTGGGTAGAGCAGCGTCCCCAACCTTTTTGGTACCAGGGACCGTTTTCGTGGAAGACAATTTTTCCAAGGACTGGGGCATGACGGGGGCGGGGGGGGGATGGTTTTGAGATGACTCAAGTGCATTACTTTTATTGCGCACTTTATTTCTATTATTATTACATCAGCTCCGTTTCTGATCATCGGGCATTAGATCCCGGCGGTTGGGGACCCCTGGGGTAGAGCAAATAGCACCTTTATGGGCTGAACATGTCCTGTGAGTTACCGGCTCTGCTATAGATCCCAGGGGCAAAATGAGACCCCTGGCTTCTGCACTTTATGAAGGAGGGTCTCCAAAGCCAGGGAGGTTTAAGGAGCTGCCTCTGGAGGTTGACCCCCGAGCTGAGACCATTCTTGAGGAGGAGACAGGCTCCCCAGCCCTTAGCTTGAGCCTCATACACCCTCTCTGCTGGGCCTGGTCCCAGCCTCTGCTCTGTGATTGTTTTTTTCCTCCCTCACCTATAGCCACAACTGTCCATCTCTGTGCATCTGAGGAGGCTGGGCAGCACCAGAAGGCTCTCACCAGAATTCTCCAGCAACACGAAGAGGACAAGAAGAAATGGGCACAGAAGGTAAGGCCCAGCCCCTCTCTTTTCCTCCTGCTCTGCTGACCATGTTAAATCCCAGAGTGAGGCCATCTTTTGTCCTTATTGTTGGTGTGAGTATCTCTTACTTGTTTTACCAGGAAGAGAGTCCTTTATCTGTTGAACAAATATTTGTAACTGCTGGCATATAATTCATTATATTCATTCTATGCAATAAAAGGTGGGGAAACACTAACATAACAAAGGGCTTCCTGCCCTCAGTGGCATCAGGATTAGAAGATTCCAAAATCCCTTTCCACCTGGTAAATCTCTGGGAACCCCCTTCTAAGCCCTAAAGAGGGCAAAGTCAGCCACACCTGCTATGTCTTGGAGGCCTTGTGCCCTCTCTGGGCACATGTCATTCCCATCACTCCGATCAGCGGGTAGGACTCTGATCACCAACCTCCAAAAGGCTCCAGTGTCGGTGAGTGAATAAGTGAGGCTGCCCTGAACCTACTCAGTCTTATCCTGTTCTGGACCCTCCGCCCCCAGGTGGAGAAGGAGAGGGAACTAGAGCTTGGAGAGAAACTGAATGAACAGCGAAGAGTCCTGGAGGGAGAGCACGCGGAGGCCCTGAGAGGTAAGGACAAGATGCACTTGGGAGGGTGTGGAACGGACTCCTTCTGTTCCACCAGCTGAGTTCACACGGGACTCCCACTGTCCCCTCCCTCCCAGCTCTGGTCCATAAGCAGTTGGTCACTTCAGGGCTGGAGTTTGCAGCGTCCTTCGACTTGTCCTTTCAGGCATGTAAAATCTGACCCCATCCTTTGTTTTACCTTAGTTGAGAGGTGTTTTTCCTTTCCATTTTAAAAGCAATTTGTATTCATTACAGGACATTTGGAAAATAGGAGAATTTAAAAATATCTGTTTTCCTTCCCCACAATGCTGACGGCTCTTACAATTTATGGTTAGGTTGATTTTTTTTTTTCAAGTAACTTTCTTTCCTTTTACATGTGATGTGCTCATCAAAGAAAATTTAGAATGTATGGATTAAACAAAAACATCTTACAGCATAATGGTTGGATCTCAGACTCTGCAAATGGTCTCTGGGTTTGAATCCCAGCTTCACCATTTACCAGCTGTGTAACCTTGAAGAAGTTAGTTAACCCTTGTTCATAGGGTCTTTATGAGAATCAAACAATTTAATTTATAGTTAGTTAGTTAGATAGATAGATAGATAGATAGGTAGATGAAGGAATCTAGAACAGTCCCTGATAGTTCACAAGATACTTAGCAAGTATTTATTAGTATATTTTTATTACTGAGAAAATTAAAATTGTGTGTAATTCCACCCAGAACTAATCACTGCTACCCCTTTGATATAGATCCCTTTTACTTCCTTTGTGTGTATTTACCTAGAATATATATCTATGCACACACACACACTTTGGGGGGAGGAGATAAATGGATTTTTTCACTTTGAATTGTATTAACATCTTGTCATTAAACTCCTGTAGCACAGTTTTAGTAACTACGTAGCATTCCGGTGTGTACCTTTGCTCATTTAACCGAGCCCCTCTGGTTAGGCATTTCGGCAGTTTCAAACTTTTGCCATTGTTTATAATAGCAGTGATTCTTACACGGTGAACCTCATTTTGTAAAATCTTGGCCACACTCATGATTTTATCATTAGAATAACATCCTCGTAGGGTTGGTATGGCAAAGTTTATGTACATATATCTTTTAGTTTGGTAAAATACACCTAAGATTTACCATTAGTGACATTTACTCCATTCACAGTGCCCTGCAACCATCACCACTGTCCACTTCCAGAACTCTCTCATCCTAAAGGCAAACCCCATACCCACTAAGCAGTCACTCCCAAACCCCACCCTCCCCCTTCCAACCCCCCAGCAACTATCACTCTGCTCTGAGTCTCATGGCTGTGCCACTGCGGACACTCGTGTAAGTGGAATCATACAACCCCTGCATCTGGCTTCCTTCACCCAGCATAACACTTCCAAGGCTCATCCATGCCGCAGTGTGCATTTGCACTCCATTCCTTTTTCTCCCCCCATTTTTAAAATTATTCCATTCCTTCTTGTGGCTGAATAATATCCCATTGCCTGGGCACCCCACACTCTCTTATCCATTCATCAGCTGATGGATGCCTGGGCTATGAACCAGTGCCACCAGGACAAGCGCCTGCTTGAACACCTGCTTTCAGTTCCCCTGGGTGTACGCTTAGGAGTAGAACTGCTGGGTCCCATGGTAATTCTATGCTTAACTTTCTGAGAAACCACCAAACTGTTTTCCACAGTGGCTGCACCACTTTTCAGTTCCAACATCATTGCACAAGGGTTCCAATTGCACCACATCCTTGCCAACACTTGTTAGTTTCCATTGTTGTTGCTATTATTATTATTGCCATCCTAGTGAGTGCAAAGTGGTATCTCATCATGGTTTTGATTTGCATTTCCCTAATGACTAATTTTTCTGAGCATCTTTTCATGTGCATGTTGGCCATTTGTATAGCTTCTTTGGGGAAGGTTATCTAGATTTTTTTTTTTTTTTTTGCTGTACGCGGGCCTCTCACTGTTGTGGCCTCTCCCGTTGCGGATCACAGACTCCGGACGCGCAGGCTCAGTGGCCATGGCTCACGGGCCCAGCCGCTCCGTGGCATGTGGGATCTTCCTGGACCGGGGCCCAAACCCGTGTCCCCTGCGTCGGCAGGCGGACTCTCAACCACTGCGCCACCAGGGAAGCCCTATCTAGATTTTTGATGCTATTGAAATTGACCTTGAAAATGTTAAGCCAGTTTTTCTTTAATCATCAGTATTTGTATGACTTTCCCCCAGAGTTATTTATCTTTTTAAAAACACAGTTAAGATTATTTTATATGTAAAATTTTATATCTTGTTCTTTTTATTTAACATTGTATCAAACATGTTTCCAAGTAATTCTTCTGCTACTAAAATGTAAAATCTAGACCACTGCATACATGGTTTTCCTTATTTCCTGTGAGTCTAGACATATAGATTTTTAACTATTGTAAGTAACACTGCACTAAACGTGTTTTGCGTAAAGATGTGCCCACATTTTACATTATATCCTTAGATTCCCAGAAATGGAATAACTAGAACAGAGGTCTGAACAATTTTAAGAATCTTGAAACATATTGCAACATTAGCGCAATTTTGAAACAGAATTGAAGCCCTTGCCCTGGGAATTTGAAGGGTTGCACTTTAATACTAATACACCCCGTGAAACTGGGTCTGTCACTGGACCTTAGTTCACTTTCTGTATCTCTAAAACCTACCTTGAATCTCCTTTCAGTATGTGTATCTCTAAAATCTTCCTTCCCTCCCTCTCCAGGCTATTATGGGAAAAGAACTTTCTTCTCCAAGCAGAGCATTGCTTTGATATTAATTTTAGCATTGTAAATATATTGATAAGAAAATTTTCCTACTGTAACAACCCCAGAGGGGAAGGGACTGCCTGTCTCGAGTTCTTCCCATCAGTCAGAATTCTTTCATAGTTACTTTTGAATTGCTTGGCACCAATTAGGTGCTCCTAAGTGTGTATTAAATGAATGACTAAAAGCACAGCATGGGGGAAGTATAACTGTGAGAGGCTAGTGGTGGTTATTCACATTTGATAACCTTGTTGTCTTTTATTTTCTACTTTTGTTTTTATTTTTTAATTATTATACATTAAAATTGACTTTCTGATATACAGTTTCATAAACTTTAACACACGTGTAGATTCGTACAACCATCACCATAATCCAATATAGAACAGTTCCATCACCCCCAAAACACTCTCTCAGGCTGCCCATTTGTATTCACATCTTCTCCCACCCCAACCCCTGACAACCGCTGATCTGTTCTCCACCACTATGGTTTTGTCTTTTTGAGGCTGTTAGAGAAACAAAACAATACAATATAATTTTTAACATTGTCTTCTTTCCCTCATCATGATGCCTTTGAGAGTCATCCAAGTGGCTGGGTGTATCAATAGTACCTTCTTTTTCATGGCTGAGTTGTGATCTAGTGTTCACTCATCCCCTTGTCCCTGGGGGGACAGGTCGTTTCCAACTTGAGGCAATTATGAATAGAGCTCTTCTAAACATTTGTGTACATGTCTCTGTGTGTTCTTTAGTTTCTTGGGTAAACACCTAGGAGTGGAATGGATATCATAAATGTATGTTCAGCTTTATGAGAAATGACTAAACTGCTTTCCTAAGGGACCATCATTTTACATTCCCATCAGTGATGGATGAGTTCCACTGTTCCTTTTCACCAACACTTGTCAGTACTTTTTATTTTTTGCTGTTCTAATAAATAAACAGTGGTGACTCACTGTGGGTGTAATTTGCATTTCAGTAATGACTAATCATATAGAACATCTCTTCTTGTGTTTATTTGCTGTCTGTATAACTTCTTTGGTAAAATGTCTGTTCAAATCCTTTGCCCATTTTAATTAACTTGTTTGTTCTTACTGTAGAGTTTTGGTTTTTTTTTAAACATCTTTATTGGAGTATAATTGCTTTACAATGGTTTGTTAGTTTCTGCTTTATAACAAAGTGAATCAGTTAAACATATACATATGTTCCCATATCTCTTCCCTCTTGCATCTCCCTCCCACCCCTCTAGGTGGTCACAAACCGCGGAGCTGATCTCCCTGTGCTATGTGGCTGCTTCCCACTAGCTATCTATTTTACGTTTGGTAGTGTATATATGTCCATGCCTCTCTCTCACTTTGTCACAGCTTACCCTTCCCCCTCCCCATATCCTCAAGTCCATTCTCTAGTAGGTCTGTGTCTTTATTCCCGTCTTACCCCTAGGTTCTTCATGACCTTTTTCTTTTTCTTAGATTCCATATATATGTGTTAGCATACGGTATTTGTTTTTCTCTTTCTGACTTACTTCACTCTGTATGACAGACTCTAGGTCCATCCACCTCACTACAAATATCTCAATTTCGTTTCCTTTTATGGCTGAGTAATATTCCATTGTATAATGTGCCACATCTTCTTTATCCATTCATCCGATGATGGACACTTGGGTTGCTTCCACGTCCTGGCTATTGTAAATAGAGGTGCAATGGACATTTTGGTACATGACTCTTTTTGAATTATGGTTTTCTCAGGGTATATGACCAGTAGTGGGATTGCTGGGTCGTATGGTAGTTCTATTTTTAGTTTTTTAAGGAACCTCCATACTGTTCTCACAGTGGCTTTATCAATTTACATTCCCACCAACAGTGCAAGAGGGTTCCCTTTTCTCCACGCCCTCTCCAGCATTTATTGTTTCTAGATTTTTTGATGATGGCCATTCTGACCGGTGTGAGTTGATACCTCACTGTAGTTTTGATTTGCATTTCTCTAATGATTAATGATGTTGAGCATTCTTTCATGTGTTTGTTGGCAATCTGTATATCTTCTTTGGAGAAATG